TAACATGGGTGTCTCATCACAACAGCAGTTCATTCACTGATGAAACAAGTGAAGAATTTTAATAAGGAAGTAGTGGCTGTAAGATTGGCAATAGGCTCATCAGAACAATTGCAAATTTCAAAATGAGTCTTTCTCCTCTGAAGTGCATACCCTGTTTTGGGAGAAAAATTTCCCCAACTCCCATGAGCCATATGTATTTTAATACATTATTTCTGCTTTCACATACCACAAAATAGCAATTGATACTGATGTTATTTTGTAAAGATTGTGGGAAATTCCCAATGAGTAAAACAAAAAGCAGCGCATAAGCAAAGCTGAAAGGAAACTGCAGTGTTTCTGGAGAATTAAAATAAAAACCATCCAAAATAAGCGAAAAGTCAATTTATTTAATCAGTTTCATTACTGGAGCATTTCTTGTTTTGTTAGAAGAAGTGTAATGTTTATAATACCATTTTGAATAGAGTAGATAGCAATGCATAACAACGTTATGAAAATCATGTTATGAAAACAAGACAAACATCATAAATTGCTAATTTGGAACATGGCAGAGTCCAATCTGCAGAGCTACCTACAGGCAACTCTTTCAGCATTTTCTCCTCATTTTATTGTTTCTAGTAAAACTTCCCTTTGTTTAATAGCTAAAGATCTTTCCAAACTGCTTTAAGACCCATATTATGTAAAAGGTAAGATATAAAATGTGTAAGTAAAATGAAAGAATGAAATAAAATTCTAAAAATGTATCAAAAGAAGTCTCCAAAATGACTTAGGAACTGAATAATGTTTATGTTGTTTACTTCTTGCTTTAAACTGTAAATATTTTTATGTCATTTGAATTACAATACCAAAAAATAACCAAGGCTCCACCTTACAGACAATGACAAGTGCTTTCCAGGGGAAGCACAAACACAGTACTCAGGCTGATCACACAATGCGGTTTCATGAAGAGGCCAGTGAATGGTGTGTTCTTTGGCTGCATGGGAACAGCAAACACAAGACCCAAACTCTTGCATAGTTTCCCTTTGTGTCTTGCAAAGCCCAGAGGGACAGATAGGAAATTCTTTGGAGTGACATGATGAATTCCTCTTTTTATTCTCCCACAAGCCTGGATTTTATGTACGAGCTGTGAATAACACTTTCCCATCAATCTTCCCCTCAAACATAACAATATATGATGCTTCTACACTGTATAATTAATGTAACATGAGACCTTTTAAACTGCCATGGCTCAATGCTATCAAAATTTGAGATTTGTAGTTTGGTGAGGCACCAGTTCTCTTTGGCAGATTAGCCTAAAGACTTTGTGAAACTATAGCTACTGGGATTCCATAGCTTTGCATGGAGCCCCCGGTGGCGCAGTGGGTTAAACCCCTGTGCCGGCAGGAATGAAGACCGACAGGTCGCAGGTTCGAATCTGGGGAGAGGTGGATGAGCTCCCTCTATCAGCTCCAGATCCTCATGCGGGGACATGAGACAAGCCTCCCACAAGGATGATAAAAAAAACATCAAATCATCCGGGCGTCCCCTGGGCAATGTCGTTTCAGACGGCCAATTCTCTCACAACAGAAGAGACTTGTCACTCCTAACATGACCATAGCATTGCATAATTCAGTTAAAGCAATCTCCAAATACATTAATTCTAGAGTGCAGACACATCCATAAAAGCTAGAAAACTAAGATAATTTCTTAGTTTCTAGGTTTTGTTGTGTGTCTTCTGATCAACAAGGATTTTTTTTTTGCAGCATTTACTCAGTGGAGATTTACCACTGCCTTCTTTCAAGGAATTATTACTAGACTTATGTACGGATTTGTTTTGGCCGTTACCTTCATCTTCTTCGGCTTCTTCAGACACCCATAATGGCAATACAATGATATGTCTTAAACAAGCTATGTCTATTTAATGGGGTGAGCGCCCCCAATTCTCAGTTGCGTCCTGGCTCTAGAGAGAGGTCCTTCTGTCCGATTGCTTAACTGTACGCTCTTAGCTTTAGCTTTTGGCTTGGCTTCTAGCACTTAATCTCTTTGATTTTCCTTTATTTTCTTGATTATTTAGTGGGACTGGGAGTTGGAAAGTGCAGAAGGATGAGTGTGTGGTGTTTGGAGACTTGTGGGTGGGTGTGCTTTTCTTTCAGAGTGGATTTATTTATTTATTTATTTATTTAGTTGGGGTTCTTTTACCCCGCCCTTCTCACCCCGAAGGGGACTCAGGGTGGCTTACAAAAGCAAAGGCATAATTCGATGCCTGCATCATAAAACAATCATACACAAAATTACATCAATTCACAGTTGACAACAATTCATGTATTATAACCATAAAATCATTAAAATCAATAAAACCAAATACAAACCCAATTTCTCCTCTTACATGGTCAGCGTTCGTTAACTCATAGATCTAGTTTTACATTCCACTTCAACAATCCTGCTGGTCTTACTCGCCTGATTGTCTGATTTAATTGCCAGAATGCCCAAAGGCCTGGTCCCTTACTTACTTACTTACTTAGGCGATCCCTCGTTGGACGTTACTTAGGCGATCCCTCAATCTCTCTCTCTCCCCCCCCCCCCCCACACACACATAACAGCACTACAGTTGGCAATATCCAGTGCATTATGCAACACGAACCTTATATAATAACTCATTAAAAGCCTGTCAGGGGGAAAAAAGTCCTTACTTGCCTTTGAAAGAATGTAAGGATGGTGTGAGTCTAATGTTAAGATCACTACTGAATGAAAGGTCATGAGTTCGAAGCCAGCCCGGGTCGGAGGGACTGTCCGACCACTTTGTGTAGCTTGCTGTCGATCTTTGCAGCCCGAAAGGCAGTTGCATCTGTCAAGTAGGAAATGTAGGTACCGCTTATGAGGGGGGGGGGGGCAAATTTAACTAATTTATGAGGCCATAAAAATCTCCAGCAAGCATGCAAAGAATGAGGAAGTACTTCATCAGTTGGTGAAGTACTTAATGGTTGATGAGGGAACACCTCCCCTGGTGGCCAAAAATACCCTCAAGAAAAGCTGGAATGTTAAATAGCCTCTGTGTGTCTGTCTATATATGTTGTGTGTCTATGGCATTGAATGTTTGCCATGTATATGTACATTGTAATCCGTCCTGAGTCCCCTGCGGGGTGAGAAGGGCGGAATATAAATACTGTAAATAAATAAATAAATAAATAAATAAATAAATAAATAAATAAATAAATGTCTCTGAGAAGAGAGTTGCAGAGCCCATGGGCAGTCACTGGGAAGGCCCTCTTCCACCCTCCCACCAGTTGTACCTGTGAGGATGGTAGGTCAAAGAGAAGGGATTCCTTTCCTATAGTGGTTTCAAAGGCTGAGCAGGGGCATTTAGGTTCTAGTTTTCTAGAGTCCTAGTCCTAGTCCAGCACTCAAGCTAAGACACCAAACTGGCTCTCTTGCAGATTTCTATGTTAGCATTTAGAAAAAGAAATTTTCTGAGAAATAGAAAATATGCTCCCCTCATTTGAGTATTTTAATTTTTATAAAGAAATGACAAGACCAATCATTCCAAAGACAAAGTAATCCTTTTATATATTTTACATCTATCCCAGCCTTTACTATTTCTGCCTTTATTAAAATCTATAAAGGGCCATTGGAAAAAATGTATAGGTACTACTGAGCTGAATATTTCAAGGTGGCATTACTCATCTAAAATCAATTATTTCCTTTTTCTAATAAGATTAAATATATTATTCACTAATTACAGAATCACAGTGTCGGAAGAGACCATGAGGACCATCCAGCACAACTCCATTCTGCCATGCAGGAATACATTATCAAAACATCAACAAGAGGTGGTCATCTGACTTTTGCTGAAAAGCGTGGTAGACTCCACCACACTCCCAGGTAGCATATTCCACTGATGAACAGCTCTTATCATCAGGATATTTTTCCTAATGTTCCGGTGGAATCTTTTCCCCTGCAAATTGAATCCATTGCTCTATGTCCTAGACCCCAAAGCAACAGGAAAAATGTATTGTCGAAGGCTTTCATGGCTGGAATCACTAAGTTCTTGTGGGGTGGGATGCTTGCCATAGATGCAGGCGAAACGTCAGGAGAAATGCCTCTAGAACATGGCCATATAGCCCGAAAAAACCCACAAGAACTTAGCAACAGGAAAAAGTTTGCCCCCTCCTCAATCCTTAAATACAAATATGCACATAGAAAAATTATATGACCTTTCTCTCATGAACAGGGATGTGAAAATTGTGCTTTTTACCACTTTTGTCTGAAAAACATTTTGCCAATACATTTTCACATGCATTTTCCACTGATCAAAACACATTTGTATATACTGATCAAAGCACGTTCGTATATATTTTTCAACTGCAACTACTCACATTTTTACATAAACATGGCTTCATGCATATTTTATTTATCCAACATGAACCAGAAGTGTCATAACTGCAAATTTCTAAGGAACGGTGCTCTGTGATTCGCAACAGGCCTTGAAAGGTGTGTCAAGAATCTCTAATAAAGTTATTTTTTATCCATACACACAAAGGAAGAGAGATGTGCTTCCCAGTGAACAAGGTGTTTAATCTAGAGTTGGTGGAGCAACACTGGGATGGTTAATACAGTGATTTGATGGAGAAGAATGCAATCCATTCTGAATGGTGTTAGTCTCACCCTACGTTTGCGGTTTGAGTACTTGAGAAAGTGGCAACAAAATGATGTCCTGAAACATTCTCCCTAATTTTAGGCTGAAACAATATCTATTGGAGTTAATGGTGGGGATTTCTGTGTAAAGAGTTCATTTGATTTGTTATTGCTGTGTTACAGTAAGAGCTGTTTTTGACATTTAATGGGCTTTTAAATATTTGTAAGCAAGTGATTTGAACAACCCCACATTCCTAGCTTCACATCGGCACCACGCTACACCTTTGACATGTGATTGAGATAAAACTGAATCTTGGCATAATTTCATATCTCATACTGCTGTTCACCATACATTGCCCTCAAGTGAAAAGTTTCAAAGGACGGTTACTTACTATGCAGCGGAGTCATTCAGCTGATACTCTCGGGAACGATTAAAACAGGCCTGGACTCCATTATCTGACCACAGTCTCCGGATCACATTGGACAAGTCTTCTGGCATGATTCCCTGCTCCTCTGCAGTGCAAGAGAGTGCAAACAACTGGCGGGCATCATCCTACAGGAAAAGCAAAAGCCAGGTTGTTAGGACTGAGAGTTCACCATTCTTCTTGGCCTATCTGTGTAGTAACACAGTAAAGTTTGTGTCTTCACTATTACACTCCTTCTTAGGCTCCACAGAAGTTCATTCCCAGGGGAAGTGTACTTTGCTGAGCAAAGGAGTGAAACATGTCCTAGTCGCAAAGCTGTCACCACCTTTGAATGTGTCGACATCTCTGCAAGAAGCCGCTCTTAAAGACTCTATTGATTTAACTGTGCTAAACAAAGCAAACATCAGGTAAACAAATTCATGGGCAATACCTGAATACAATTACATCTTATCATAGGCTGAATATCTCTGGGGCACACTAAGAATTATTATAGATTTGTTGGTAACTTAAAAGCCAGTGCATCTGGGAAGGATCAATCTGAGAAGGTGAAATGTATTGAGTGTAATCTCTTTTCCTTCTCTGAGTCACAAATGAAAGTAGCAAAGGCAATTGGAAAGAACATCAACATGTCAGTTGTCTTTAATAGGACAGCCAAAAATGTTAAGAAACATAAATGCAGAGCAAAAATCTTAATAGTTCATTTGTGGGCACTAGTTAATATACAGAATTTGATTACAACATAAACGTTTAAAGCAGTGAAAGCTAGCTGTCAATAAATTCCTCCTAGGTAGCTTGTCTCCACAGTGACTCACTGCTGTCTGGACATTTATGTATCTGGTAGAAGGAAATGTAAGTGCCAATGAACTATACACACACATACACACACACACACTAGTTGTCCCCTGCCACGCGTTGCTGTGGCCCAGTCTGGTGATCTGGAAAATAAAGTAATGAGAAAGTGTTGGTTTCTAATATATGTAATTCCTTTATGTTTGTGAGTAACAGTATTTCTTGTTGTTTCTTTGTCAGCGTTGATGTGGAGAGTGTCTGGTTTGCCTACTCTGGAATATGCAACATATCATAGTCCTTCTTTAGGGGTCTCTTTCAAATCTATGATACTATGTGTGTGAGAGAGAATCATATCTATATCTATGGCTGGATGGCTCTTTGTCAGGAGGGCTCTGATTACATTTTCTTGCCCTGGTGAAGAGAGTTGGACTGGATGGCCTTAAGTATTTTCTGTTGGTCATGGGGGTTCTGTGTGGGAAGTTTGCCCCATTTCTGTTGTTTGTGGGTTTCAGAATGCTCTTTAATTGTAGTGAACTATAAATCCCAGTAACTACAAATCCCAAATGTCAAGGTCTATTTCCTCCAAACTCCATCTGTGTTCATATTTGGGCATATGGAATATTCGTGCCAAGTTTGGTCCAGATCCATCATTGTTTGAGTCCACAGTGCTCTCTGGATGTGGGTGAACTACAATTCCCAAACTCAAGGTCAATGTCCACCAAACCCTTCCAGTTTTTTCTGTTGATCATGGGAGCCCTGTGTGCTAAGTTTGGCCCAATTCCATCATTGGTGGAGTTCAGAATGCTCTTTGATTGTAGGTAAACTATAAATCCCAGCAACGACAATTCCCAAATGACAAAATCAATTTTTTGAGTGGAGGACATACATTGGGTTGTTAGGTGTCTTGTGTCCAAATTTGGTGTCAATTCCCCCAGTGGTTTTTGAGTTCTGATGGTATCACAAACGAACATTACATTTATATATACACATACATACACACACACACACACATACATATATACATGCTTAAATGTCTTACCATAGTGAAAAACAAAATAATCTTTCCTCCTTTTAGTAAAACTAGAGAACCCACAAGAGGCTGTGACCACTCAGGAAAGAATCCAAATGGGGCTGCCCCTAATCCCTGGGGGAGGGCTTCCTCAGTACTAGGTAACCCCCTCCGCCTTAATTGAGGGGAAATAGCTGGTACAGATATATGCCTTACTGATCAGGATAAACTTTGTTTACTAGACCTTGTCACTCCATTTCCTGACATTTTGAAAGCTCAAATAAACACTCCCATTAATTTATGGGCAGCTGGAATCCTACTGGTGAATTATGATGGATTAAGTGTGCCATCAGAACTCACTTCTTGGTCACTCCGGACTTGAAATTCACTACCTATAGTGCAACATCATAATCCCCGCTTAACTTACCCTCTCTTAGCTGTAGCCCTACAATAATGACCATTTCCTGGACAGTGGAGAGCAAGAAGGACTGTATATAAGTATACAGCTTTTTCCTATAGGTGTCATATTGAAGGGCCACTACAGGTCCAATGAATGCCTGTTGCAGGAAATTGCAGGTATTTGGCTGTTGCTTCCCCTATCTTTCACTGACAAAGAAACAGCTGTATTGGGAGGGGGAGCTGAAAAGTATGGCTTTAGGGGGAAGTTGAATGGGAAACTATTGCAGCTATGTTGCATAACTATGTATCCCAATGCAGGATTGCCTGTATTGCTTATCTTGCTTTTCTTCCTATAACAAATTTCAAAACAGTACCATCAACCCAAGTCCCAACAGAAGGACTTGGAGACATATGGCCCTCCAGCTGTTGAAATGCAGTTACAATCCGCCCTTGTCAAGGAAGTTAGAATTGCAGTTCAACAGCTGGAGGGATTTGCATTTCCATTCCTTGTCTTTTTAATATTTATGTGAAACTACTAAGGGAAATCATCTGCAGACATGGGGCAGATGCAATCAGTATGCTGGTGACACCCAAATTTCTCCATGCTTTAGCTAAGGATAGTGTGTCTCCCTGAATGAATGTCTGGAGGAGATAATGGGCTGGATAAGGAAAAAACAAATCGGAAGTGAATCTGGGTAAGACAAAGGTGCTTGCCATCAAGGATCCTAACCTAGGTTTGAAGGTGTGTTAACCAGTTCTAGGTGGGATTATGCTCCCCCGAAAGATCATATTTGAAGTTTAAGACTGGCCCTGGATCTGCCTCTCCAAATGTCTGCTCTGATCGTTGCCAATTAGTTTCCAGGTTACCTACAGGATCACCTTTTCCCATATAATCACTCTCTTAGGACCCTGAGGTCCTCTGGGAGACATTTACTCAAACCAGCCACAACCTGACTCGCAACTGTCACCCAGAAGACCTTTTCATTGGCCACCCCAAGACTGTGGAATGACCTGCTGGAAGAGCTCTGACAGCTAAATGAGTTGTTAGAATTTAAGACCAACTAAATACTCATTTCTTCTGTCATGTCTACTCGGTCAACCTTGAACCACGAGCTTTAGATTTGCATCTGATTGATTATTTTGTACCATGTGTTTTGATGTATATATTTTATAATGGTGTGTTCTGATATATGTATTTTATGTTGATGCGTGTTTTGACAGTGGTGTACCCTTTCTCGAGCCATTAGGAGATATTGTTGTTCTAATTGTTGCGATGATGACGATGACAACAGAAGAAAGTGCTTTTTCTCCCTCTTTTGCAAGTGCTGGTTCTTCCTTGAAACAATCTCTTCATTTATTATCACACACCATTATGTTTTACAGTAAAGATGAAGATCTTGGGGCTTTTCAGATATTGGCTCATTCCTTCAATCCCTGCTAATACTATCAACAGTTGTGGGCAGCAAGAGTTGTATGTACTTTTATATGTTTGTTTTATACCAGCATTCAAATTCTGTTTGTTGATCTTGCATGTAGATGACTATTAATACTTTCAGGTGATTTTACTGCCTCCCACCACCATCAATACACCTTCATTACTGAAAGTAATAACATCAGACTCATGACATACAAATACCTGCCATTCCCTGCCACACTGTTTGCTCTTTTCAATGGTTAAGCCATTCCTGTTCAACAAGACTCCACTCTCGATCTCCCACACAAGGCTCCCAGCACTTTACATTGGGTCTGAACAGATTTTGGCAATGCTGTGTTACTTAAAAAGAAGATGTCATCGGGATGAGTGAAAGGGTCTTCGAACTCCGTGTAGTTCCAGCCTAAGTATAGCAAGGCTGGGTCAGAATGGTTCTTTCACAGTGCAGTACAGGAACAAAATGGTATGCTTCATTTTACAGCAACAGATGCCACATTTGTTTATGGCAAACAGCCAGAGGCACTTTTGGATGGACATAAATTTGGCTGAGTGTTCCCAATCAAATGTAAAAATAAATAAGCAAACATTGTACAGGTCAAATACTTGTTTTACTTTCTCACTTTATAAGCAAGACTCTGTGCCTTTTTTCCAAGAAACACCTCTCTAGGACTAAGGGTGACCCCACTCCCCCAAAGCAATTGAAGGTTGGTATGTATTAGCTTTCTCTGCTATGAATTCTAGTCCTCCCCCCCCCCAAAAAAAAGAAACTACAGATCTATGTGCTTTACTAAACTACAAATTCCAAGTTTCCCCAGGATGGAGCCATGACACCTAAAATGAGATGAATAGTCTGAGTGTAGATACACTGTTAGCTTCCAAGTTATGAGTACAGCTTAAACAAAATATCTTGGCTTATTTTTTATTATCATTCTATATCTTGTGCTTAATTCTCTTTCTGATCATTTTAATTCAGTATTTAATATGCTGTTTGTAAAATGAATACTGCTTGGGGATACTCGCGGATTCAGTGCTGACGCTTGATGCACAGGTGTCGGCAGTGGCTGGGAGGGCCTTAGCACAATTAAAACTCGTGCGCCAACTGTGACCATACCTTGTGAGGTCTGACTTGACTATGGTAGTCCATGCCTTAGTTACCTCTAGACTGGACTATTGCGATGCACTCTACGTGGGGCTTCCCTTGAAGACGGCCCAGAAACTCCAACTGGTTCAACGTTTGGCAGCCAGATTACTAACTGGGGCGAATTACAGGGAGCGGTCTACCCCCCTGTTTAAGGAGTTCCATTGGCTGTCATTCATTTTCCAGTCCCAATTCAAGGTGCAGGTTATCACTTATAAAGCCCTAAATGGTTTGGGACCAGCCTACCTTCATGACCGCATCTCCTACCACAAACCTGCACGATTTCTTCGATCCTTGGGGGAGGCCCTCCTTTCGCCCTTTCGTCCTTCACAGGTACAGCTTGTGGGAATGAGAGAGACATTCTTCTCTGCTGTGGCCCCCCAGCTATGGAACTCACTAACTGGTGAGATTGGGCAAGCCCCCACTCTAGAAGCCTTTAAGAAAGCTCTAAAAACTTGGCTTTTCCGATGTGCATTTGGAGAGTGACCCACAGTGTTTTCCTCATATTGCACTTCCCCCACCTTATTGAAGGTCTAACTCCACTATTCTGTCCCCTATGAGCTCCTCCCCCACAAATATACCTTTTTCATTGCTATCTCATCCAGAGTTTTATCATTTTATGTCATACATTTTGGCCCATGATTTTCCATTATGTTATTTTGCACTACTTATTTTAGCTGAATGTTTTATTTATTGTATTGTGATGTTATTTTTGTTGTTCATATTTTATTTTGCTTGGCCTCATGTAAGCCACTCCGAGTCCCCTTTGGGGAGATGGTGGCGGGGTATAAATAAAGTTTATTACTATTATTATTACTGGGCTTGTCCATTTTGTTTAAAAGCAAGGAACAATCTCCAATGCTGGCTTTTTTCTTGGATCTTATACTATGTGCACTGATATAAGGAGAGGTCAGAGGAAGGTAGGTTGGATTTATCCCTGGTATAGTAATTCAGTTGACTATTCTTCCACAGATTGATCACTAGGTTGTAGCTATATCATAGAGGTGACACCAAAAGAGGAAGGCAATTGTTATGTATTAAAATCTCACCTCACAAGGAAATTGAGCACAGGTCTTCTTAACAGATAGTAAAATAGTTAAAACAGTCACTGACTGTAGAGCACAAGGATCAAATAGAAGGCCCACAGCCCAAATCTGGTCCTCCATGTCATTTTTGTTTGTCATTTTGCCCTTCAGATGCTAGACTACAAATCCTATATTGCTTATCATTAGACATCATGACTAGAGCTGATTGGAAATGTGATACATTAACATATGGAAGGCCGCAGTTTGTTCTATTTAGTCAGTTTAGTGGGGTTTGAATTTACATACAAGACTTGTCGATAGGACATCTGATTTGAAAATGTCCTATAATCTTATCCCAACCTCATGTTGTTGGGTTGCAATTCCCATTATCCACAGTCTACATAGTAAATAATCAAAAGAGATGGGAGTTGTCATTCAATAACATGTGGGCATATACACTGATAAAAAACTAAATATCACCAATCACTATGTAAAAAAATTATAGTTGGCCCTCTGTATCCACAGAGTCTCCATCCAAAGTATGGAATAAAAACCTGGCTCTGGGATCAAGCATTCAAAGAATAGCGAAATGCAATAATAGATTGGAATATGTGCAATGATTACGGAATGGCCTTGGATTGTGATTTTTGGATGGCGTGATTTAACACTGAATGTAATGCTTTTAAATGTTTAATATGTATTTTAATTCAATTGATTTTAAGCTCAATGTTTGTATATGTTCCAAGGAACTGAATAATTGTCATATGTAAGCTACCTTGAGTCCCCTTTGGGATAGAGAAAGACAGGGTATAAATAAGGTAAATAAATAAATAATACAATGGTCCTTTGAAGGCAACCGTAAGGCTGATATGGCCCTCAATGAAAATGAAATTGATACCACTGCTTTAGAGTTTCACCCAGACCCAGCCAGGAACAAGTTCCCCTTCGCATGTTTTCAAAGAGTATTCTTCAGCTTCCACAATTTCCTGTGTTGTTTTCAATATCTGAGCAGATTTTTGATAAGTTCTGAGAAGTCCTCTTATCAGAGTTTTGGAAAAGTCATTTTGATGGATTACAACTCTCAGATTCCCCCACCCAGCTTTGTGTATATGTGTGTGTGTCAGGAGCAAACTGCAAGTTGCTTCTGATGTGAGAGAATTGGCCGTCTGCAATGACGTTGCTCAGGGGACACCCAGATGTTTGATGTTTTACCATCCTGTGGGAGGCTTCTCTCATGTCCCCACATGGGAAGCTAGAACTGAGATAGTTACTCACCCTGCTCCCTGGATTCGAACTGCCAACCTGTTGGTCAGCAGTCCTGCTGGCTCAAAGGTTTAACCCATTGCACCACAGGGGGCTCCTCCCAGCTTAGCTATTGGCATGCATTCTGGGATTCCTATATAAGAGTTTTTGCCCAAAATGTAAGCTCTCCACATCCTGATTACAGTCAGTGCCTTTGGCAACATCTACCATAAAGGGCATCTCCAAAAAGAATTGCTGAATTGTATATACAACACATTCTCCTCAGCTGATCTCATGCCACTTCTTTCTTCTAGTTCAGTGGTCCCCAACCTGTGGTCTGTGGAGCACCAGTGGTCTGTAAAAACTAAAATATGGTCCATGGCCTTACCCTTACTACTACGGATAATAATACAGCTCAACCAAAACTTTTTTCCTGGTGTCTCCCTTTTAGGTCTGTTCCTGGCGCTATTTGTAATACTGATTCAGAAAAATGAATTGGATAGACCACATCAGCTCTAGATTATTAAAGATGGTTTCCTGTGGGTGGGCAGATGGCAATTACTGGATGACATATGTTTTGTATCGGAAACTAGAGCTGATGAGGTCTATCCAATGCAATTTTCCGAATCTGCAGCCCAAATAACCAAAAACTGATTCATAACCCTTTTGGTACTAATGTTGAAGAATGGTTCCTGGTCAAAGTGGTCCCTGGTCAAAGAATGGTTGTGAACCACTGTTCTAGTTCAATGCTACTCAAACTGGTGGTCCACATATTGGTTTGGTCTGTAAGCTATTGGCTAACAGTCTATTGCGAGTTTCAAGGAAATAAAGATATAGTTTTAGTCAGTGGACACAAATATGGTGGTGGCACCTGGGAAATTCATAAAGAACCATGCCCCCCTCCCAAAACACACACACACACAATAGATAGCTTAAAAAACACTGTTCAATTTCACTCAATGTAAATGGAACCTGCTTCTTCCCTCTGCTGGCCATGACCCCAGTTTCTTAGGATACAGGTTAATTGCAAATTGCTATAAGTTCCTTAAAATTGCAACATTACCTCATGTACGCACACTCCCTTTCAGAGGATGTGCCATCACCTCCTTCCTTTATGTTGTTTACAGATAATATATTTCAACAACTCTGTGGGGAATTGCTTAGGAAAGCAGAAACAAAAAGTAGACAATGGACAGCTTTCTGCAAGCACAAACTATGATTAATCTATGCTTTAGGAGGTCAGCACCAAGCACAATGAGCGAGGTAAATACCAGAGGCCCTTGTGTTTACATCAGGTGCCCATCATTTTCAGTTGGCTTTCCTGTCCAGGCCCAAAATAGTGGTCACTAATGTATACAAACACCCACAGGTGCACACTCCACAAAAGGCGATGTGGAGTCTGTGGGGTGTTCTGTGGGGTGTTCTGATCAGTGCGCCTGCCCAAGGCCACACCACATAACTTCGTAAAATAATCCCCCCATTTCAATTTTTCATGGGGAAAAAACCAGGAAGGGACGTCATGGGCTTTTCAGGATGGTGCAAAGGGTACATTTAGACGATAGCATCCAATGCTTCTCCAGACTCCAAATAGAAGAAGCATAGTATGTGGTGCATAGATTCCTAAAATAGGCCATACATGGCTTTGATAATGTCCACCCCATAGTTGGTTAACTATTTCCAGCCTTTCACTCAATTCTGAATTTGGGAAAGCTACTCTTTGGACCATTCTGCTTCAAATAGGGATGAGCTGCATAAAAATCCCATCATTCAGAAATTCCAAGATGCCCAGATGAGAAGAAATACATAGTTTCAGTTTTAGGAGGAGATATATCTATATCTATATCTATATCTCACCAATGAATGTCAGGTGGGAAAAAGTTGGTTAGTAATGCAGAGGGATTTAAGCAAACTCACCGCTCTTGCAGGATCCCCAAAGTCAATCTGCAGGTTTCCCATTGCCTTGATGATAGCCATAATGGACTGGATGGTGTTGCTGTAAACCACGGCTTTATACTGCCGACACTCTTCCTCTGAGTATCCATCCTCATGGATAATCCTAAGGGTGGGGGTGGTAAGGAAAGTTTCCAAAATCAGATGGGACAGACAGAGGACTTCCACAGATTTTACTACATTCCCACAGCCTCCAACATCTCACAGAAGGGAAGCCAGGACAACCATCCTATTTGGCTGCTCTCAAGATGACTGCTGACATTGTGGCTTTGCATCTGCTGCCAGCCAGCTCTTCACACATCTTCCCTTGAGCCCTACCCAGGCACTGGAAGGAGAGACACCATCATCAGTCATGGTGACCTCCTCCAGAGGCCTTGTATATCTGTTTTGCTTGCAAGAAAGACCTCTTGCTATCAAACCAGAAATACAAGGCCTCTGGAGGAGGTCACCTTAGCTGATAGTTGCTTCTCTTACTATCCCCCTCCTATGTATCTTACCCATGTCAAACACATACCATGCAAGAAAGACTCATGTTGCTTTTGCTAGTGTCTGAGGAGCAACTAGGTTAGTTAAGCCACAACATCAAACCCATATTCCTAAAAGTACTATATAATAGATAAAATATTCATAGGAGACAAGAACATTTGTCAATAAAGAACAACACATCATTATGACTTAGGATATAACCTCCCAACTGATCACATACCAGCTACATCAATTCCAGAGGCTGTGACTGACTACAGCACACAACAGGACTGTATTAGGATCAAGTATTTCCCTCCTTGGGCTATTTTCCTTATAGCAGAGAGGAAATCAACCAGTGGCCAGCTTTGGCTGCATTGCTACTAGGAAGGCTCAGAAAGGCTGAAAAACTAACCATCTGTTTGTCAATTAGCCAGAAGCAAACATTCAGTAATCCACCAGCAGGGACAGAGAAGCATTCCTACTCGACACATTGCCCAAGCTTGAATTTGTCCAGTTAAATGGAGCTAGCCTCCAGCCAAAATGGTCAGTTCTAAAATGCTGCCATGATAACATGCTATAAATGTTCCAAACAAATTAAATCCAAAGTTAAACTCGCCATTTTTCTCAGCCCGCCCTGAACATACTTCCATGGTGGGAGGCTAATGTAATGAGACTTTTCATTCCCACAGCTGCTGTGAACACGATCCTAACTGAAGCAGACACTATAAATTAAAGATCAGATGACTATTAATCTTTTAAAAATACCAGTAACTCCAAAAATGCTGGCATACTATATGGCCTCAATCTACTTATCATTTCCAACTAGATTAGACCAGAAGTGCTGGGATTCAGGTCTTGCAAGAACATATTGTTAAGTCACTGGACTTAATTTCACAGGATTTTCCTAGGTAAGGAATACTCAGAACAGATTTGACTAATTCATTCTTCTGAAAAATAGCCTTTAGTACCTGGTTCAGTGCTGGTCTCACATCCAAGTACTAACCAAGGCTGACCCTGCTGAGCTTCCAGAATCAGATGGGATCTGGGGCGAGCACACAAGCCACACACAATTTTCAGCATAGGGATTATAATTTGCTAATCTATACAGATTTGACAATCCAAAGAAGAATTACTACTTCTACACTGTGGGATATACAAGGAAGTCTCTAGATAATTCCAAAGAACATACAGTTTGGAAGAGATTGTGGACTTCATTTTAATAGCATGGTTTATAAAATAAGAACTACAGAAGGTGACAGATTTGAGAGTTCTTATCTACCTACTATCCTAAGACCTGATATATATTTTACTTTCTCAAGGATTGTTTCAAAAGTTGCAACATTGCACTAAGTTTCGATATAATTTGGGATGGAAGAGGAAATGTAAAATAGTATCAAATAATAACATCAAAAACTTCCCAATGCCTGATACTAATAACTGTTCTGATTTGTAGGAAAACTACTTTTTTGCTTTCCTCTCTGTACTATTAACTATAAATAATATTTATCACAGGAATTTATCATATCACCTTTCATTTGTTTTCAATTACACAAAATTAAAAGGCTGTTTATCTCTGTGAAGAACAACACACGTCTAGGGCAAGTCAGTTTGCAAACTTCATCTAAAACTGAACTTGTGAGGCTGGACAAGGATAAGAGATGTAGGATCACTTGCTATGGTTAGCCAGCTATCCTAAGTGCTGTGGTGGTAAGGAAGAAGACAAGAGTTTGCAGGCTTAACTATACAGCTGGCAGCTTGACCAGTCTTGAATCTGAATGGTAAACATAAAGAAGATCAATTTTCCCGACACATTTTTACTTTTCTCAGGTAATGGGAGTTGGGATCTGGGGACCAGTTTTTCATTTCTTCTCGCACTTATCACTGTCAGATCTAAATCTGTGAGAGAATTCTGCATATGCATTTCCTTCATGTGGAGGGTGGTATGGATGTGCATGTTCGCATGTGTGCATATACCCATGTGTCTCTTTGAAAACAAAAGAGGCTCCTCTTCCCCTGCATATAGAAACAACAACAACAACAACTTTATCTATATCCTGCCATCATCTCCCCAAGGGGACTCAGGGAGGCTCACAAAGGCACTCCAAGGTACAGCATATAACATGAGTACAAAACAATATCACATAGAAATGATAAAACAACTCTATGTGAAGAAATATCTCTTAATCTCTGAATAGCTCTGTTTCACTGCATGCTGACTGGCTGGGACGTCCCAAATTTGAAACAAGGAGGAATGGTATATGCAGACACTTCTTTTCTAAAACAACTCAATTCACAAACTATTCCAACTTCAAGACTTTTGAACAAAGCCTGGAAAGTTACTTTTTAGATTCCCATTCCCTGAATTTACCAGCCAGAATGGCAAGTGACCATGCTGATTCATGGATTCTGGGAACTGGTAGTTCAGAAAAGGTACTTTTCTTGGGAGAAATATGAAAATAATAATTCAGTGAAGCCACCACAAGAAAAATACCCACACTCTCTTAGCCTCAGAGGAAGGTGAAGGAGCCTCCCCTCTAAAGAAATCTTGCCAAGAAAATCCCATGATTGGTTCCACCTTAGGGTCACCATAAGTCAGAAATTACTGATAGCTTTAGCTTTGCAGAAAGAGAATTTCTGCCAGGGACATTAAATGATAAAAGAATGAAGAAGATAAATTAAATTTCTTCATCTGTGAAAGTGCCTATAAGATACAGAAGCAATTTCCTTCTTTGTACTGTTGGCCCTTCATATCCACAGATTCGGCAACCATAGATTCCACCATTCATGGCATGAAAATACTTTTAAAAAAATCAAAAAAGCAAACATTGATTTTGCCATTTTATATAAGGACAGTATTTTAGTATACCATTCTATATAATAGCATGAGTATCCATGGATTCTGGAATTCACAGGAAGTCCTTGAATCAAGCCTCATAAGATACCAAGGGCCCACTGAACCTCACCTTCACATTAAGAATGTTTCCTGGCTTATTGCCAAGATTTACTCCTCAGTTTCTGTGAGAATCCAACAGTCAAATGATTAAAAAAAAACATAATGGAGTATATTTATTTAGGCATGAATTTTCTAGGTAATAGCTAGTGTGTAGTGTGTAGGGTGAGATTTAATAGCTCTCTGGGTGAGTGTGAAGTGCCATCAGCCATTTTCAATGGACATTCACAGTGCAACAGAGATTGAGGGCACTGGGGTGCACTCACCAGGCCAGTTAAAGCTTCCAGCAGCAACTGTTCAATTAAAAGAAAGCAATTGCTATTGCGATGTCAGATATTCAATAAGTCTAGTATATGCTGTAGGTCTGGGGATATGAGTACTCTTCCTTCCTCCTGCATGTACAACTGCATCCTGAACCTGGCTATAAATCCCATCCTTTTCTAGATACTACTGGGATGTGGGAGTATGTACCTGTGCTCTCAAGCTGCATCTGGATTGGGAGTAGGAGTAAAGTACAAAGAGGTACTGGAGGCTGTAAACCCACTGTGTCAGTGAATATTACCTGCAGGATCCGTACCTATGTAAATTCAACAAGTTGCACATTCATAAATATGTGTGCAAACAAATAAGACTACAGAGTGGGTTAAGAGCCGAGTGTCTGGCAATAAGGGTTAAAAGTTCTATGACGTTTAAAAGCACAGAAAGAACTCTGCAACAAAAATATAAATAATTTCAGTTGACCTGTTAATATGACATAGAGGCAATAACGTTATTGAAACAAAGAGGAATGCTTACTTCATCTGTTTTACAATTGTGCTTTTCCCAGACTCTCCTGCTCCTGTAAAAAAAGAAAGAGGACATGTAAGGCATGGGGTTTTTAGGTTTTTATTCTTTTCCGAAAGGTTAGGAGGGAGGAGGCTGATTTAATATCCCTAGGAAGGGAGTTCCACAGCCGAGGGGCCACCACTGAAAAGGTTCTGTCTCTTGTCCCTGCCAAACGTGCCTGCAAGGAAGGCGGGATCGAGAACAGGACCTCCCCACACAATCTTAACTTCCTAGATGGTTCATAGGGAGAGATACGTTTTAACATTATCTTTAGAAGCAAGCCAATAGACAAGACTTCAGGATATTATTCAAACACATGAAGAATCAGAATGAAAACCTCGGATTTTGTTTCCCACCTGCTCTCCCATTGTCCATTTGCTTTCCAACGACAAATGCAGGATAAGCTACAGCATGCAATTATGGCCAGTTTCATGGTGTGACTGGAATGAGCCAAGAATCCTTCTTAGAGCCTGTTTTCAGAGTCAGTTCAAAAGAGCTAGAAGATGTCATTTAATTAGAGTTCACTATGGTCAGCAAACACAAAAAGGATGGAATGGAAACCATTTTCAGAGAAATAGTAAGGAAACCAAAAATTATAGTATGACTGTATTCTCAACCCTGGTTCTCTTATTGGAAACCATTTGCAAAAATATATTAGTTTGAGGACTTAGGAAAGGAAATCCCTTTGACAGACACTAAGAAAACTATGAAGGTTTTCCCGGACGTTGTGCAAATGGCAACATTTATAGGCCTTTCTGCAGTACGCAATTTGTTTTAAGCTGAAAAGGTCAGGAGAGGATAAAATAAAGAAATGCAAAAAATTTTCTCCAAGATCTGCTGATGATAATTTCTTCAGCCTTATTCAAAATCTCTAATCAACTTTGCTCACCATCAACAAGGCTAGTCAATGAATAGCGGGCAGCACTAAAGTACACAAGACAGATGACATAAACATGGCTAAGCACGCCACTGCATGTCAAATCTTGTCACCCCTTCCATTAACAGTACATGCAAGATACAGGGTGAGGACAAAATCCTGTGAGACACCAGCAGAAAAGTGAAGATACACCAACATACATCCTATTGCCAAGATAATAATAATAATAATAACTTTATTTATACACCGCTCCATCTCCCCGAGGGGACTCAGAGCAGTTCCCAAGTAATATCACAAAATATACAGAGTAAAAAAACAACATAACCATAAGATTAACAAACAAAATATAAACATAAAAATTGTCACCACAACACACATATATTAAAAGATCAAAGAGAAAGCCTCTAGAGCAGACCTGTAGATGCCAGCCAGCTTCCAATGGCATGGGACCAATATCTTAGGAGCAACACTGTCAATGGATGAAGTTGAATAGTCCACTGAATACAGTGCTGCGCAGGGCTGTCCCACCTTTTGATATAGGCAATGTGCAATTTGTTGCTGTGAGCCATCAAGTCATTTCTGACTTATGGTGACCCTATAATTAGGTTTTCTTGGCAGAATTTGTCCAGAGGGCGTTTGACATTGTTTTCATCTGAGGCTGAGAGTGCATAACCTGCCCAAGGCCATGTAGTGGGTCTCCAGTGCCAAGTGGGAATTTAAACCCTGGTCTCCCTAGTCCAGCATTGAAACTACTACACCTTGTAGATCTCTACAGTGTGTGATAGCAAACAACAATTTCACCAGAATCATCTCAAGCCACCCATTATAACATAATACTCTGCACTATTGCTTACGGCAATGAAGCAGTTCTACTGTTTCCTCCACGTCTAGGAAAAAGGAAAGGGAGAGGAGCTCAGATTAGCTTTCAGCGGCCCAGGTAGATTTCATGCCAGCTGGCCTAAAGCCATGTTCCTTGTGGGCTAGAAGATTTAAGGCACAAGAGAAAGCACAAGCAGCAGAATGAATTGCAGTTCTAGATTAAATATGGATGGACAATGAAACATTAAGTGCAAGGTTGTAAACTGCAAGGTAGCTCGTTCCCCAGTTGGTCACAAACCATCTCTAAGCAAAAAGTCAATGAAGTTCTTTAGATGGAAAGAGAAGAGGATTGTGTGTGTGTGTGGGGGGGGGGTCTTAAAAATAATTTCAGGTTATAAATTTACCAAAACACTAATCAATATTTCACCAGTACACTAGCTACTAAACTTTTCAGAGCAGGTAGCTTTTGAGGACTTCACTAAACAATTGCTGCCGGAAATGGCCTGACATAACAATTCTATATTTTTTTCTCTTGATTGATATAAAAAGAAACGAAGGATGCGAGCAAAAGAAACAAAGGAAGGAAAAATGGAAGGAGGAAAGGTGAAACTTTTGGTCACAGAGTCTAAAATTTTGTGGCAATTTTTTCCAAATAGTAGCTGAAATCCTATTGTTCCCCTTTCATCCCTTTAGTACATTTTGTTCAACATCAAAGCAGAGTTTGCTCCTGCAGAAAGATGATGCATTAATTGGCATATCTTTATACCCTCAGAATCTTCACTTTTAGAAAGGAGCTGTCATTGAGACAGACAAAAAAAAAATCAGAAATGGAAACTTCACATATCTATTTAAGTCTAGAAAGAACATACAGGAGCTCTGGGAATTGTCTTCTCTGCAAGTTTAAATTTCAAAGTATAACTCTTAGCAATTTCATTTCTCATATACAAGCAGGAAAGGCCACATATCTGTGCAGTGCACAGAAAGGAGAATCCATCTGACATAAGAATTGTGGCAGACTGCATTCTAACTTGGATAATTTTATGAGCCAAGCTGAAATATTTGCATTTTCTCTCCTTTTTATTTATTTTAAAAAGCCCACCCCTTTTGGGAAGTGTGTGTGTGTGTGTGGGGGGGGGGGGGKGATTTCTTAACTTAGTGAAAACCACAAGGGATCAGAGGTCAGAAGATGATAAATCTGTTTTTGGAACAAGTATTCGCAATTTAAAACTTGAGAGTTATTTTAGGGACTGTTGTATACAAAATACAGATAAGGCATTGAGCTTTGCTCACCCTAAGGTCAAATGAGAAGCCTAATTAGGCAGTCAAAGACAATGCTTTGAAAGTTGCATGATATGCTGCCAGTGTTCTATTGTTCTTCCTTCTCACATGGCCAGGCCAAAGGCTAGGAAAGGGATACAGCTTAAGCGTGCGATCTGACTGTATCCCTCCTTAATAATACAGCCTTCAAGGAAATCTGGATTAAGAACCAAGGTAAAAACAGCAGTTATCTTTAAAAATAAATTAATGCATGTCATTTAAAGGTGTTTTTAGTCTCTCCCGTTATTGTGAGGAAGACATGAAATTCAGTTTTAAATAAATTGGGGTTTGTTTGACGCTTTAAATTAAAAAAATGAATTCTGACCACTGTTGTTGTGTATTCATCCTGTTGTTTCTGACTTATGACAACCATAATGCAAACTTAACAGAATTTTCTTGGCAAGATTGGTTCAGAAGGGTTTGCCACTGTTTTTCTCTAAGGCTGAGAGATTATGGCCTGCCAAATTGTTCTTAATATTAATGATGTTTAATATCATTTTAATATTTGTGCATTTTAAGGGGTATTGTAATGCTTTTAATTGTGAGCTGCTTTGAGTCTTTGTATGGAGGGAAAAAGCAGGATATAAATAAACATAATGATAACAACAACAACAAAAGTCATCCAGTGGGTAACCCTGTGAGTTACACAGCTGGGCAGGAATCTGAATTCTGGTTTCCAGAATTGTTGCCCAACCACTACAACATGAAAGTAAGTTTACAGTGCAATCTGCCCTATTTGCAGCATCCTTTTAATTTTGAAATGACTAGCCCTGTTTCAGTTAATCAACAGAAAGTTCTATGGCATAGCTAAGATTAATATATTTATTACAATGTTCAGTTATCTATATGCTCAGAGCACATAGTAGGGGTGCAGTCTTGATAAAGAAGTCAGAGAAAAACAGAATGCAGAGAATATTGTTATTCTAATAAAACCGTTAACTATCTGGCTATTAACAACAAAAACATTTTTTGTAATATTATTAAGTCCACTTATAGCTCTGCCATCTACATTTCCCCTCACATTTGCCAACATGGGGGAATAGTATTTTCATATTATAAATTTTCTTCCAAAAGGAGAGGCATCCCCTTTCAGCATCATTATTGCACTATACTTCCTTTAATCAATTACTCATTCTTTTCTATGAACACAGGCACAAGGTTGGGAAAAGAGTCTTGTCAGTTCCATCAATGAGATTCACCACAGCCACCTCCCTATTTCAGAAGGTCTCAAGTTACTGAACCAATTTCTTAATTGCAGCAACAAAGAAGACACACTGAATAGTCATGGTGATGTTAACATGTGTTGCCTGGCCTTGTCAGTACTACTAGAAAAAGAACACTCTTAAACTGAGGAGAACCTTTGAAAGGACAGAGAGAAATTATGAGCACTGCCTTTGGTCTACAGACTTGGAGCCTAGTGATTCTTGGTACTGTAATCCAAACCTTTGCCAAGATCTGTCCTTAATAATAAATAACAGACTAACAGAATAACAGAGCATGGATTAGGGAACTGTTCTCCCTTCTGCACCATGGGACAAGAAAGAATACCTGGAAGAAGGTGAGCTGCTACTCTTCAACTCTTTTCTACACAGCGAGGGTTGGAACAATGGGCTGGATTTATTTAGTAAGAGCCATATTTCCTGGCACAGGGAACACTGTCACACATTACCCACAGACCATTAAAACTCAATGGGGGGCAGACCTCATGCTCAGATAAGCCACCCTATTAGTAGGAAGAATCTTCTTACAATGCATCCTATTAACACGTTTGCTAACGAGTTCAGATCTACAAGCTGGTGTTTGCAAGTGGCACAGCTGTTCCCAAGTTTCACAAGATCTCTCTCTCTCTTTCTCTCTTCACCTCAAACTCTCACATAGGGAAGTAGTCCAGCTGGCTGACTTGCAATTAATTACTTCTGAACATTATGGTGGCATTACACAGACAGCCTGGTTACCAATGTCATTTCACTGGGGGCCGCTCCTCCCTTGCTTTATTGTAC